CTCTACCTTTTAGCAAATTGTACCTAACATTTTTTTTGAGATGTAGTTTTGCTCTTGTTGCCCAGACGGGTGCAGTGGCATAATCTCGGCTCACTGCAACCTCTGCCTCCTGGGTTCAAGCCATTCTCCTGCCTCAGCCTCTTCAGTAGCTGAGATTACAGACACCCGCCACCACGACGAGCTAATTTTTTTATTTTTTAGTAGAGATGGGATTTCACCATGTTGGCCAAGCTGGTTTTGAACTCCTGACCTTTAGGTGATCCACCCACCTCAGCCTTCCAAAGTGCTGGGATTACAGAAGTGAGCCACGGCACCTGTCCTGGACCTAGCATTTTCATAAACCGCTGATTTGCTCAACTAAATGTGAATTTCCAGGTTACTTGGCTTTGATTGGAGACCCCCCATACAGATGGCAGGGGAAGCTATAGTACTGTATCAGTCAGCTGCTCATCTGGAGTTCTGTAGACCTAAGTGAGTTTGTATAAAAGACAGCTTCTGTGGCTTGATGATTGTTTGTTTGAGACAGAGTCTCACTCGTGCCCAGGCTGGAGTTCACTGGCACAATCTCAGCTCACTGCAACCTCTGCCTCCTGGGTTCAAGTGATTCTTCTCTCTCAGCATCCTGAGTAGTTGGGATTATAGGCGCCCCCCACCACAATGAGCTAATTCTTGTATTTTTAGCTTCACCATGTTGGTCAGACTGGTCTCAAACTCCTTACCTAGTGACCCACCCACCTCAACTTCCCAAAGTGCTGGGATTACAGGCGTGAGCCAGTGCACCTGGCCAGCTTGACTTTTTTACTTGTCTCCTGGTGGAAAGCCACAGTAGACAAGGTCTCAGAGAACTACCACCTCCTAATCCCAAGGCAGACCTCTCCACAGCCATCACCCAAAGAATACAGTGGCTAAGGTTGGGGCAGCAAGGTGGTGTGAAGAAGGTATGGCAGAAATCGCCAATATCAGGACTAAAAGCGCCTGACAGCTAGTGGTGAATTTGGCTTTCCTCTTTCCTCAGCAATGCTGGTAAGTCTTCTTATCCCCTGGTTCCTTCTGCACCAGCTCCCAGGATGGGATGAAAAGGGGAGTATTCCCAAAAGCTACTTCCAGGGCAGGGCTTATGATACACCAAAGTTCAAAAAACAGTTACAAAACAGTAGATTCCGTTTAAGTCACAATATTATGTATATATCTGTGCTTCTGAATTGTCTGCCTTTTGTGTAGTATGATTTCCATAATAAGGCGTAAAAGGAGTAAGTGATGCTTTTTTCAAAAAGGCTGTGCCAGAGAAAATTTGAATGATGGCATTGTTCAAAATCCGGTTGGCTCTGATAGCTGTAGATGTAGATATTGATATAAATATATTTTTTAACCATGTGTTTAAATATAAACACTGAATTTCAGAAATCCCAGTTTATGATAGGTACCTTCTTTTAGGGTGTTTGTCTCCATTACGTCTAGTTCTAAAAAGATATGTAGTTCTTTTTTTTTTTTTTTTTTTTTTTTTTTGAGACGGAGTTTCGCTCTTGTGGCGCGATCTCGGCTCACCACAACCTCCGCCTCCTGGGTTCAGGCAATTATCCTGCTTCAGCCTCCTGAGTAGCCGGGATTACAGGCAAGCACCACCATGCCCAGCTACTTTTTTGTGTTTTTAGTAGAGACTGGGTTTCACCATGTTGACCAGGATGGTCTCGATCTCTCGACCTCGTGATCCACCCGCCTCAGCCTCCCGAAGTGCTGGGATTACAGGCTTGAGCCACCGTGCCCGGTCAGATATGTAGTTCTATATCAGTTTAATTTCAGTTTTCTTGTTAGGCCATTTTGGTGATCATCTCCTACATACTGTAATGACAACATTTTCACATCATGTGTCTTCATTACTTTGGTATGTGGTCTGTTGTTACGTATATAGCAAAAAAGTCACCATAAACAAGTCAAAAGCAATTTGATGCTAACTACCCACTACGCAAGTTTTGGTAGCAGTAAAACAGAGATTGGTTTCATGAGAGGGGCTTACTGAGAAGACAGCTGGCATTTGACATTCCTAACACTGGAAAAAACCGTAAAGCTAGATGGCTACTCTAAAATGTCATTGATTAGTTCAGAGCCTTCAGTTAATTATGTTAAGTTTTCATTGATTTGAAGTAGTTTCAGGGGAGACCTCTCTGCATTAGTGAAATGTTTTTATTTTTAAAATATTTCTAAAGGAATACAGTTTATTTCTTTCAAGTAATCACACAAATTTAGTATTCCAAAGAGAGCACTTTGTGATTCTTTAAATGAATAGATAAGAAACATTTTCTAAGGCATCAGTAAGACTTCAAAATGAAAACATTACTGTTTAACCATAGACAAAAAATTGTAACCTATCTGGTAATTAAAGCAGTACAAATTTAAATTTCAATGAAGTGTTATTTTCACCTATGAAATTACTAAAAATGTTTGAATTGAGAATACTGAGAGCTGGATAAGCATATAAATTTTAGAAAGAGGCTAATAGTTTCTATCATTTCACTCAGCAAATCAGCTCCTGGAAATCTATTTTGAGGAACTAATCTTAAAGATAGAAAGCTCTCTTTGCACAAAAATGTTCACTGCATTGTTATCAGTAATTGAATAAAAACCTTAAATATCTGTCATTAAGGAAGTTAATTATGTAAGTAAATCATAGTATACATGTGCAGTAGATTAATACCCAGCTGATAAATGTGATTTTTGCAGAATTTATAACAGTGTGGAAAACACTCATTAGGAAGAAAAAATAGTAATAACGATTTTATATAAGTTAGGAAGTCAGCCCTATTTTAAAACTACGTATTAATGAAGATAGAAGGAGATAATGAAATTTTAAAAATCTCCTAAGCTCAGGCATTTTACTTAGGGTCTTATTTATGCTAATATGTAGTCATTGCTTTTTTTTAATTATTGCTTGTACAAAAGTAAAAGTAAGCTGTTCCCTTTCCAAATTATCTCACATGCGAAGTTACGAAGGTCATAATAAGATTTTTACCTTAAAGCAGAAATATCTTTAGATACCACATTTAAGTTTTCCAAGTATTCTCCCTTCATCATCTTTTTATGTTTGTGTTTTTCAATGTATTATTTATGTGTCTCGTGATTTTGCGGCATTACTTTCTGGAAGAAATGGTATTTCCTGGTATTTTCTCCTTGCTCGCACATCTGTCTACCCCCTATAACTCCACCAAACTAGAATTCTGAGATGGTATTTAGAGGCTGTTAGGAAGTAGAACCTATATATGTGTTTTAATTTTTTTTTCCAGAGGTTCTACAGCACATGGGGATTATTTAACAGTTTCTAAGCACACATGATCCATTTACAAAGACAAAGCACCTTGTGTTTCTATAGTTATTTTTATGTAAAGCTATTAAAGGAACAGGAAACATCTTTCAGCAGCCTTTCTCCCTACAACTGCCCCAAAAATAGTCGTTAGTATTAAACATAACAGAGACTAAAATTGTTTCCCATAGATGCTTAGAGAAAGGCTGCAGGGTAACACTAAAGCATTTGGGGTTATTTATAATAAAGCTTGTGCAAAAGAAACAAGATGCCAATTCACGTGTCAGGCAGACAGTGGCAGCTGCTTTGTTACTATGTGGCACTGTCCCATCCTAAATCAAATGGGAAATGGGTACTGTTTGACAGATACTGTCAGCAGTTACAAACATTATTAAAATAATTAAAAAGCTGCCGCTTTTTTTTTTTTTTTTTTTTTTTTTTTTAATCTTAGGGACAGGCTGTTGGTTTCTTCGGGTTTTCCCAACCCTGGTGCTCAGGACTCCAGGATGAATATTCCTACACCAGATTTTCGATCCAGCCAAGCCTGAGCTACGATTTTTTTTAATCCCAGTGGGACAGTGTAGCTATGTTCTTGGCGTTTTCTGCCTATTACCAGTTAGGGTCTGTGAACAGAATCTCCATTTGTGAGAACCTCATTGTGGATAGCACGCAGTGGTCTTTTCATTTTGATTGATGGTTCTGGTTCTGCACCATCTGGCTTCTGATAGGCTGCATTAATCATATCCTGAACTAAGAAAGTGTAGACATGTCTGCTTAATATGTACCCATACATAATGTAACATTAGTTATTCATTCAGCTTGCAAAACAGTCATAATGTATGCAAGGTCTTTATATAGTAAAACATAAATATTAATATGTGACCCATTAATGCTGTTTTTACTTGTACTAACCTCCCACTAGTGCATTTGTTTATGAAGATTGAAATTAAGAGAAAGAAGGCCATGTGCACATTTCCATGAACACATAAAGTTTTGCTGATGTCTCCTATGAATTTAGAGTGATGTATGTGTGAAATACTTACTTGCCCATATTTACTTTATATCTCTAATTGCCTCTTGAAATACAGGTTAAATGCAAGCTGCAACGAAGATTAATTTTTTCTCATGTGAACTCCTTGCATCAAATGTAGGTCATCCATTTGCCGGGGTCTTGGGGGCGGATGTGGCCGTGCTCTTTTGTGCTGCCTCTGGCTGGGCCCACTCTGTCCCCTGCTGTGTGATAATGTCAAGAGGAAAAGAGGGGCCAGCGGAGGCCAGATAGGAATTCAGAAGTTAAAGTTTGCTCCGGATTTAGGACTGTCATACTTACCAGTAGCTCAAATTCGGTCTTAAAAAATTTGCTAGGGCCTTTTCCATTTAAGAGAGATTTAGTGTGTACTAATCATAATCCTTTCACTACCTAGGGGATTTAAATTCTCCTGGGAAGTTACCTTGTACAGAATTGCTAGAGTATATTTCTTGAGATAGCAAATTAAAACCATAACTTCATAAAACACATTTTATGTTTTATTAATTATGTTTTGTCATAACAACACTGTATTCCCGTGTGGTTACATCTTCTTGTATGTGCCCCCAAATCAAAGTATGTATTTTAATGAATTATGCTGTTGCAGAGTAAGTGAAGATTAATGTTTGTGTGCTGCAGAACACAAAGCACGATCCACACTGTAACAGTAATCAATCATCGAATAATGCATGGGTATCATGGCAGACAATCATAGTTTTTATTGAGAAATAAGTAAACTTCAACTTCTGCTTGAAATGTAATAGCAGTGAGGTTTAATTAGTCACGTAAGCTCTATGAGCAGTACCAGCAGAAACAGTATAAAATGTAATGCAGGGATTCAAACTGACATCTTGAAAGAGTTTCAAACATTAAGATAATACCATGTAGAAATCTGGAAAAAATAATTTCAGAAATAAAATTAGTGTTTTAACATCCAGCTCCTCCTTTCTTATTTTAAAATTACTTTTGTCTGATTCTTCCAATAGTTTAGATCCCATTATTGCTTCATTTATTCTATTAAGTGATTTTTAAAAATAAGCCCAATGTCAAGAACGTGGCATTGACAAACCAAACTAGAGAGTAAAAAATCTTGTATAAATAGTCTATGACCATGGGCACACTGGTGTCATTCTAGGAATTTGTGAAGAGTGCTGATTTTCCTCAGAGAAGGCGGAGTTTGTGTCTTGAGTTTGCCTCCCAACTAGCTGAATGATCTTAAAAATAGGTTCAAACTGACTGGCCTATTTCCAGATTAACCCTCATTTAAAGATATAATAGTCTGAGTGAGCTTTTTATCTTTAAAAAAAAAAATGTTTATTAACCTCTAGCCTGGTTTCTTATCTTAAAATTGAAGAATATCCCTTCCCTTAGTTTTAGTTGTACGCGAGGGTCACATGAGATAATGTGTGCGTGTTATAAACTTTAAGTACTATAGAAATATATGTACTGTCATTTTTATTGATTAAACTTTCCTGGATTTCATCTGCTACATTCATGAGAGTATGTGCGATGATACATTCTCCTCTCATGTCAGAGTAAATTTTAAGAAGCAATAAAATGATGAATACATGTGTTTCCTGGTGCCTGGATTTCTATTCTTATGTAAGTTCCTTCTAGAGTTTACGGGTTAAAAACTACTTTTCCCCTGGAAAGAGCCATATGCTAGTTCTCTACATAATTACAACATAATATAATTTTCTTCTTCCAGCAACATATAAACTATTGGACGGTGCTTCTTTAAAATTAAGGACATTCATCTTGAAGCTGGGACAGGACTAAAAGGGAAGGTATTTTAAACCAAACCATTTCTTTAGCTCAGGAAGGCAGTGCCAGAAAAACAGCTTTCAAGAGGCCAGCGCTCCGCTTCTCCATTGGAGAACGGGAGCCATCCAGGAGGGGCATGAACAGATGGGGAAGTTAGAGAACCTGACAGCTTTCCTCTCCCTCCGCAAGTCATCGGTAGACTTTGACTGGAAATGTAGTAACCTCCCAGAACGCCAAATAAACCTCTTTCAAGTATGTAAATACCAAAACAAAAGTGACTTTTTTATTTGTAACATTTTAATGAATTTTAATGTTTTTGTCTCATCATGAATATATGAGTGTTTACTCTGGTATTGTCTCCTTTTAATGTTACCAGCTTGTCCGAAGGATGACGAGACATATGTCCGGTTCTCCAATGCAGGGAAATCACTGTAGGCCATGCTTTGTGTTTACTTAGACTTTAAGTGAAGTTAGGCGTCCTCTATACTTGTACCTAGTGTCACAGCACAGATTCATATGTGTGTAAGCAATGTGCTTATGCTAGGACTCAACAGTCTTTATATACAGGTTTTTAAAACTCATTCATTTCTTGTCTTGATGCACAAGACATTGAAAATACAAACAATAAGATTCTGCATGGTCCGATGTCTTGACACACTCCAGGCTGTTGGGTAGGATGGAGACGAACACCTAATTTTAATTCTAGGATTCATAAGTAATGCCATTACCACCCCTATTATTAATCACTGTATGATTAGTAGTGTTAATAGCAAAGCATAAATGTGTTTTAAAGGAATCTTGTTATGAAAGTTTAACGGAAGGTCATTCGAAACTTTGAAAGCACAAAGTATTCAGTGCTAGCTTCATGCCTGAAAATGGTTGTGGGGACCATGACTTATTAATTATTTCATCAAATAAATCTATTGCTCTTTCCCCTAAGAGCTAAAACTGTCTAATTTTTTTTTCCAAGACCAGTATTTCGGGGTTTCTCTAAGCTGTTGTGGCATTTGTGGCAACTTTACCAAGAACACGATGGTCCCAAGGTACCTTTTTGAGTTTCACATCTGCCTTAAATTGTAACCAAGAAAACCAAGTGGATACCCATCCAAATCACTGTCCAGTGCTTTTTCCTTCATAGCACTGAACTCGTGTTATTTCTTTGACTCCTTCTCCAATCATCAAGATAACACGGAGGAATTACTTCCCAGCTGTCTCTCCTATACTGTAATAAATTATTGCCCTCTGCTCTTCCCAGAGGACTCCAAGGCTTCTGACAGCCCTGACCAGGGTCTACCATTGCCATCCCCTCGCCCCCACCGCTTACGAAAGTGTCCCACCCCAGACCCTAGAATACAGATTAGAATCAAAGCAGGAACTATTGGGAGGAGAAGGGGGTTGGGACAGTCATGCATTATGCAGAGTTTGTCAGTGTTCATGTGAACAAAAGGTCACCGAGACTCATCAGATTTATAATGGAGAAAGAACATCATTCTCTGCCTTTAAAAATTCCTTATTTTATAGTTTGCCTAGTATGCTGCAATTATTTAATTTTGAGTTAAAGATATTGTTCATGGCAAAAAAAACCTATTTATTTTTAATCATAGTTGATTAACCTGTGTATTACTAGTTAGGAGTTTTTTAGGTTATTTACAGTTTGTACTTGACTGTCACTACCAAATGCAGATTTATCGTATAAAGGAACTATCCTCCTTAATTTATTTTCTATTTTGTAGCCTGTTAGGATTTTTTAAAGGAGTTAAGGCATGAAAAACCCTTAAACAGTAGGCTAAAGTCATCTTCTAAATATTGAGATACTTATCTTTTCAGAGAACCTGTATAATTTAGGGGTGTTTTAGGAAATAAAACGCATGTAGAATGTGAATTTTTTTTCTTATTTAAAGCAATCACTTCAGTAGGTTTCTAACCAAATGTTAGAGGAAGTAGGAAGATGCTTGTCAAAATCAAATAACTTGTAAGCCATGGTGTCCATATTTTTCCAGGAGTGGAAAGCCCTAATATCACAGCTATTCAGCTTCCCATTCCACAAACATCATTGTTTATAAACATTTCTAAAACGGCTCTCTGTCTAGCCTACACATATGCCTTGTCTCAGAGTTACCCCTTGTTCCTTTTAGTCTCCTCGCAGTTGTATTCTTGCTGTTTTATTCATTTTCCCCCTCTTCCCTTTCACATTAACAAAGTAATTCACTTTCATATGTATTGCTAGAGTTGTATTTTTGTTTCAAATGGTGACTGCATTCCCTCACCCTCAAAATGTCTGGGTAAATAGTTTATGGCCATCTGTATTCTGTCATGCGAAAGAAGATGGTCCTTCCAAATAAATTCAGTGACGCAGCCATAATAACCAACATTGCATGTGCGCGTGCGTGCGTGCGTGTATGTGTCTTTTGGGGGGAACTATCATTTTATAATTTCATCCACAGACAACCCCAACCCAGAGCTTTTTAAATGCCTATCCTTTAACAAACATAATTTTATTTCTAACATTTTTGTAATACAAATGTGCCGAAACATCTAGGCAGCATGCTGTGTATCAAAAAGAGTAAGTGCTTTGCAGCCAAGTGAACCTGGCTTGGAAAATGCTTTCTCTCATTGACTAGCTGTGAAACTTTGGGCACGTTCCCTGATCTATCTGACCCTCACATTTGTCATCTGTGAAACAGGGAAAATAGTATCTACTCTGTGAGAACTAAAACTCTGAAAACAACCGATTCAGAGTCAGGACTCGTAAAGTCTCTTGCCTATTTCCTTTCCCTTTCTTCTAAATAATTTCTTGGATAATATGTTCAGTAGTCTAGACACTTGAAAATACTGAATTATTAAATATTTTCATGTTTCATTTCTCATGTCTTTCAATGGTAGTTGAAAAAAATATATTACCGTAAGACATAGCACCTGGACATAAGCATAGATGAGCTCAGTCAAGCCCATCTGTATACATGAGGTCAAAGTCAGGTCCCACCCCAGAAAACATGGTGAAGTCCAGTTTGCCTCCTCCAGCAGCCAGCTTCTCCTTTTCCCCTCTGTGTGCCCTTCTTGCTGCTTATGGACTCAGTGACCTCGCGCTGTCTGCAGTCATCCACATTCAAGCCTGCTTTCAACAGAGAATGTGAGAAGCACATCCATTACAAGATATACATTATTGAAAAGGGTCAATAGGAGAATCTCCCTGGCTATTTTCATTTTAACAAAAGAGACGGATTTAAGTCAAATTATTAACTACTAATTGTTGATTCTTGTGTGGTAATGAACCTTTCTGTTTTCCAGCACACATTCTGGAACTTGTCAATTATGGTGTCCCTGAAAATTATTTTTAATTGGCTCTTTTGCCTTTAAGTGGCTCCTTTGGATGACTTCTGACCCTCCAAAGAGATCCACAAATCATGGGAAAGTGCTCCCTTCTGGCAGAAGCCCATTTCACTTGTGAGCAAGTCATCCAGTAAAATGCACAATGTCGTCAAGGAAGGGAATTGGGAATAGAACAGAGGATGTTACTTACAGCAGAATTACTAGCTGTGGTTATTCCTGATCATCAGCATGTCCCAAGAAAGACTTAAAGAGTAAGAAAAGGCAGAGAAAAATAACTTCTACCTTTAGTACAAAATCAGTTGTACTGTGCCTTTGTTTTCTTTCCTTCCCCCCCCCCCCCTTGAAACAGGGTCTAGCTCTGTCACCCAGGCTGGACTCTAGTAGTGTGAAAATGGCTCAGTGCAGCCTCCACCTCCCAGGGTCAAACAATCCTCCCACCTCAACCTCTCGAGTTAGCTAGGACCACAGGCATGCACCACCATGTAGCTAATTTTTAATTTTTCATAGAGATGGGGTCTCACTGTGTTGCCCAGGCTGGTCTCAAACTCCTGGGCTCAAGTGATCCTCCCGTCTCAGCCTCCCAAGTGCTGGGATTACAAATGTAAGCTACTACTCCCAGCCTACTTGCCTTTCGTTAAAATCTTTACTTTTAGAAAATATCTGAAAGCAAATAAAAACCTAATAAATTGTGAAGATCATGGATTACAAGCAAGACTATCTTGTTTCCCCTCAGGTAAATTACAAGGGTATTTTCTTCACAAACCTTAATAAGGCAAAGACTGCAAATAGGCACAGATAATTGTTGATAATCTCAGCGTTATGCTGACTTTTTGTTTCTTTGTTGTAATCTTCTGATAGAGGATTTGGGTACATACGGAAGATCAAGGAGAAGGAATGTAGAGGAATTCATTTAATTGCCAAGTGTTTCCATGAAACATGTGAATAATACACTGTCAAACACTAGATTATTTACTGCCTTGTGTGTTTGCTTAATTATATCTTAGTAACTAGACTGTTCATTTCTCAAGGGTAAGGACTGTGTCTTACATCTTCGAACACCCTTAAAGGAACCTAGGCTAATAGTTGACATTGAATAGATTCTAAGTAAATTCTGGCTGGCTGGAATTACATTTATGACAAAGCTACTTGCAGATTACTTGTACTGAGACCGAGTGTAAATGCTAGAGGAGTCGGACGGACATGGTTTTCTTTGGACACACCTTGGATGTGGCTGATGTCCTCCCCACCCCTCCTTGGGCATACCTTTATGATACAACTTTAATTCAGTCAAACTGGTATCACTGCATGTTTCCAAGAGCCTTGTTCACTTTCTGACCAAATTATCCGTCTTCTACCCGGGGTTCTCAGTCGGGGTTGGTGCCACTGTGTCAAGGGGGTACATGGAAATAAGGAGAGGTTGGTTGTTGCTAGTGGTGCTACTGGCACTATGCTGCTAGGCGCGGGAGGTGCCAAACATGCTCAGTGTCGCACAGTCTGCCACAGCAAAGCACTGTCGTGCTCACAGCACCACTAGTGCTCAGCATTAAAAAACACTGGATTCCTTAAAACCTTGTCCTGCTTTGTATATTAGTCCGTTTTCAGGCTGCTGATAAAGACATACTCAAGACTGGGAAGAAAAATAAGTTTAATCGGACTTACAGTTCCACATGGCTGGGAGGTCTCAGAATCATGGCGGGAGGTGAAAGACACTCCTTACTTGGTGGCAGCAAGAGAAAATGAGGGGAGAAGCAAACGCGGAAACCCCTGGTCAACCCATCAGATCTCGTGAGACTCACTCACTATCACGAGAAGAGCCTGGGAAAGACCGGCCCCGAGGACTCAGTTACCGCCCCCTGGGTCCCTCCCACAGCACCAGAGAATTCTGGGAGTTACAGTTCAAGTTGAGATTTGAATGGGGACACAGCCAAACCATGTCACTAAGCAAGCCTTAGATTTCACCACTCCCCCCTTGCACGCTATATTTAATCCTGACTGAGCTACTTCGTTCTGGATCATGCCAAGCTCTGTCTACTTCTGCATCTTTGCAGATTTTATGTTTCAGGCTCCTGACCTACTTTCTCTGCTAGCGAAATGTTTTTTAATCTTTCAGGACTCAGCCCAGGCACCTCCACAAAGCCTTTGCTTCTTACAAACCCAGCCTGGAATAGGTGGCATCTTTATGTGCCTTGAAAGCACCCTGTGCTTCCCTCTGCCATGACATTTGTCCCAATGAATTGTGGTTGTTTACTTTCATATCCTCCCACTAGGCCAAAAGCTACTTAAGAATAAATTGTATGTCCCAGCAGTTCACTCCGTGCCTGACATATAGTGCGTATTTAATAATTTTTAAACGAATGTCTTTAAACCAGTGACACTGTCAGACAGGAATTAGTTCATTTGGCAGATATTCACTGTGTATTCCTCATAACTTCATGCCAAGGAAGAGTCTTGGCATGAAGCAACACTGTCATTATGGATGGGGAAGAAACCTTAGGAATGAGGTTAGGAAGAAGGGGCGGAGAAATGATCCACATAAGAGGGTCAGCTCAGGCTTTATTCGCTCAGTAGCCCTTAAGACTGTGAGTGGGATGTGGTGGTAGGAGGGGCCCAGCCCACACTGCTCAAAGTTTGGAACTTGGGACGCAGGCCGTCCACAAACATATTGACCCAAAATCAGGTACCTATAGAAGTAGGAGTAAGCATTTAGGAATTTGACAGAATAATTTTATGTCTCTTAAATCTTATACTGAAAACATCGGCGCTTGTTTATTTAATGCCATTTTTACTAGTCATTAATCTTCATCATATCTTATAAATAAATTGGTGCCTGGTGGATCTGAATTTTTTTTTTTCCCAAAAAAAGAAGGAAGGAGAAAGATTTCAATAGCTGGTCCTCAGTCATGTGCACCAGACTGGTCTAGGTGTTCCCAGCGATGACTCTTGGTTTGTACCGGATTCCAAGTTAGATGCCAAAGAATCAGGATCTTACTGCCAGTTCTTTGCTTCCTTTTCTCCCCTCCTGGCAAGAGGTGGGCTTACTCGAGATACAGGCAAGCAGGTAGGACAGGGTCCTCTCTGAGTACCTAGATTTCTAGGTAAGCCAATAGTACTTAGCTAGAGCTGCCATAAGAAGAAAAAAATTCTACTCGTCTGGATCAAGCCAGTCTGACAGAAGACTGGGACACTATAGCGTCTGGAGTGCCCGGTTTCCCCCCAAGCAGCAGGGTTTATGGTAGCATAACTAAGTCTAGCACCTGCCTCCTGGTGGACTAGTGGCCACCAGTATACCCTTCATTCTGACGACGATGAGCTCAAGAAATATATGAGATTAGCTGGATTCATAGGCTAAGGAGCCTCACTGGCAGCAGCTCAGCAGGTTATGGGAGACAGTGGCCTACGTGCCTAGGGTAAGAGGAGCATAGTGCCAGGTAGTGTGAAGATTCAGACATGAGCAGTGCTGTTGACAGTTTGAACCCAAAGCATGGACAAAAGTACAAATAGAATGCTCTAGGAGAAAAAGAGAAGTTCACAATGTAATACAGCAACCTTGAGTAAATACGAACCAGTCTGTGTGCAGATTCAAGCAAGGCACATTACTTTTACAAACTTAAGAAGTTGAAGATGGTAATGGTAGTGGGACCTTTATTGACTGTTAAGTAAGAAGCAGTATGACCCTCATAAAGATTGTTTATATGTAGCAGGGTTGAAGTGCCACATGATAAAACTCATAAGCTTTACTTACAAGAGTTGTAACTAGCGTAGAAAAAAAAATCCTGCCAGACATCGTGTCTGCTTTGTTTGGAATAGAAGCATAAATATCTAATTTGCCTTGTTACAGAGAAGAATGCATGATCTATGCAGAATGTAACCAAATAATCATTCTATCAGGCTCAAAATGTAGGGAACATGGTTAATTTGCTGCTTTGCCCTAATCCTTTTTCTCAGATGGTGAAACAAAAATCTCTACATTTGTACTTCTTGTAGTCATATTTCACCTCTTAGAAGCTAAAGACGCGATTTTGCCAGAAGGTCAAAACTAAAAGCAGCCAATAGCATAAGTCAGTCTGCCTAAATTAGGAAAGTTACAAACACACACGGTCATAAACTTCCGAAAGGTTTTTTTTTCCTCTCAGCATTTCTCTAGTCAGTAGGTCTTTTACTCTTTTCCATTTAAGTGTTGTGTCATGAAAGCAAGTGTGTCTGTAATGATAAATATGTCTCAGGAGTGCAAGGTGGGACCCTATAAACCTTTAATATTAGCATTTCATCACAAGAGTTCCTTTGTTAATTTTTCTGTTGAAGAAAAATGAGGGTGACTGGCAGCCTGAAACGAAAGCTTAGCTTTTGTTTTTAAACAAAATTGACTTGATGTGGTTTAGGTTGAAAATTGAGATTTTATTTTTTGAATTTGTCAGGCTTTTATTTTTTAGGTGGTGGCTTGCCTGTGTTAGATGGTTCCGTTTCCTGGTGTATTTGTAATACCCGAAAGCAAATGAATTTTTATGGAACCATAAAAATGATCAACTGTATACTCTTATATAGAACGTTCATGTGCAGCATAATTGTTTAATGCTGTTTTCTTTCCACATTAAGTCACCCCGAAAGACTATTGATTGTCGCAAACACTGTTTCTTCGTGCCAGAATTCTCCAGACCTCTGTCTCAAGGGACCCTAGTCAGGAGGGTAATTGTGTGTGTTGCTGCTCTCTGTTGAATGCCTGGTGACAGCCTGTCAGGACTGACTCAGGTTGTAGAACAGTGCATTTCACAATGCTGAGTAGCCTGACATTCTGGTGTCAAGTGGGAGGAACCCCTCAGTTATGGCTAAGGGAACAGAGAGTTAGATGCTGAAAAGCAGCACAAGTTTAGTCGATATGCGGTATTCAGAAAAGACTGAGATACCATTCTGTGTGAAGTTGTGAATTTTGCCTTCATTTATAGATATGTGCCCACAGCGCCGTATTACTTTCACCTGTGTAGTACTTTCTACAAAGCACTTGACCTGTGAATCAGCTCACCAGCTAGACAGACAACTCTCTTTGATCCTCAGTTTTCAGATCTGTGTAAGTGGTGTAAAACTGCACAGCATCCTCTTCGCCAGCCTCACAGACTCGTGAAGGTCAAATGTCATGGAGCTTAGACATGCAAATGTTATTTTCCCGGCACAAGAGTAAAGTCACGTAAAAGAAAAACTGTTTTTAAAGCAATAGCAAATGCTGAATACTGTGCCGTGGTCAGCGGAGGCCAGTTTCATATCCTGGGCATGGATTCTGGCATTCCAGTGACATTTTATACTGAATCACCTTTGCTTAAAAACTGAAGATGAGGCTGGGCGTGGTGGCCCAGGCGTGTCATCCTAGCACTTTGAAGGCCAAAGCGGGCAGATTGCGTGAGCCCAGGAGTTAGAGATCAGCCTGGGCAACATGGCGAAACACCATCTATACAAGAAATACAAAAAAAAAAAAAATTAGCTGGGTTTAGTGGCATGTACTTACGGGCCCAGCTACCTGGGAGACTCAGGTGGGAGGATCGCCAGAGCCCAGGAGGTTGAGGCTGCAGTGAGCCATGATCATCATGTCATTGCACTCCAGCCTGGGTGACACAGTGAGACTGACCTTGTCTCTAAAACAAACAAAAAAAACAAAGATGAGACGAGGTTAATTGAGGGTTGGGGTGAGGAGGGAAATAAGGGATGTGCCCTAGCTTTCCATATTTTCTAAGATTTTCTGTTTGAAGTATCCTTATTTGCTTTAAATTTGAGATTTACCCAAAGTGATTTCAACCTCATGACTTGTCCAAAATAAGTTCTGCTTTGCTAGGCCTGAGCCCTAGGTGGTCATGTCCCCTTAGGCTGCCTAGAGCCTTCGGGATTGTCGTGTCTTACACAAGTTCTTACGAGGGCCGCAGAGCTGGGGGCCTGGAGCTCATTTGCATACACTTGATTCATGGCCTCTCTTTCCAGGCAGTCACATTTTCCTTCTCCGAACAATGTCCTAACTGTTGAAAGTGTCCAGATTTCTGTGTTTGTTCTCAATGACGAAGAGCAGAAAGTCTATAAAAATGTTAAATTATGGTAATAAAGTAAATGTCTTCATTTACTGAGCTGATCTTTTCACATTTAGAATAAATACCTCCTTTGTAGTAACTCCTTAGAAAAATTCCAAACGCTTCGTAACATTATTATGAGAAAAGATGGGTTTTTTCCCCTCTTGTGAAACTGGTTAACAACATCCCAGAAAACTAGAATTCTCTAGTAACCTTTAGGTCAAGTGCCTGTCTTCACACCCTTCCCTTTTATTCCAGCTCACTTGTGAAGGAGCAGTTTATTCTTAATTCCTAGCTGCTTTTTAGGGGACCGAGGTAGTCTCAGCAAAGAATGGGAAATCAGATTTGCAATCTGTGATGTTAGAAAGTAGAGTGATAGAATGATATCAAGTAGTTAGAAAGAATCATGCAGATCACTTTATCTCACCACTTCACAGCCCAAAGAAGCAAAGGCTCTGTCTAAAATCACATGGCTGCCAACCTGGATAACGTAGCAGGACCCCATCTCTACAGTAAACTATCACAAATTCACCAGGCATGGTGGTACACACCTGTAGTCCCAGCTACTAAAAAAGCAGACATGGGAGTATCACTTGAGCCCAAGAGTTCAAGGCTGCAGTAAACTGCGATTATGCCACTGCA